AACTCAGGACCTTCTGCTTACCAGGCAGGTGCTGTGCTTCTGATTTATATCCCGGGCCTAAGACAGATTCTTGCTAAGTCACAGAGCTACCCAAACTGGGCTTCAACTTGTGATCCTCTTGCCTCAGCTTTCTAGAGTGGTAGAATTAGAGATAAATGCCACCGTGTCGTTTCCCTAAAGCCTTATACAGTATATGGGATATTTCTTTTCCACCCAAGACAACTCTAACTTTAGGGGAAACCAACCTTTCCTTCTTCCATCTCCCGCTGTCCATGTCTGAACGTGGTTGGAAATCTTGCACATGCATGTGTACATGCACACACAATTAAGCTGCCCGCTTTCATTGTAAAGCATGGTCGTGGGTTTAAAATTAGCTCTTAGAACTGCCCAAGAGTGCCAAACATTGCAAACTCACTTTCCCTCGTCTCTGGGAGGATGTGTAAGATCTTTCTTCAACCTTCTGTATACAACTCCTCTTGCGGTTAACCAGTGACTTCATCTCAACTGGGAAGCCCCCGCCACCACATCTCCAAACCCACCTGCAAGTGTTCTTTCTCCCTCCTGATTGAGATACAGCATGGTGCTCTGCTGCCTACTGGGTTCAGGCTCTCCTGTGTCTCAGATCCAACCCCTTCCTCCTCCTCAAGAACCTCAGTTTTTCAACTTTTCTCTTGTGCCTTGCCTTCATCATTAAATAAATGTTCTAATCCTCACATCTCTAAAAACAAACAAAACCCCACCTTGTGTTCACACCTCTGTCTGTCCTGTTAGTTTTCATGTGTTCTTTCTGCTGCCTTTTTTAGCAACAGTTTCTAAAATCCTTGTGGAGAATCCGTCTTCCTTTCCTTTTCTTCCCCTTAAGTCTGGCTTCATCTTTGTCTTTTCACTGAAAGGTTTGTCAAGGTCAAGACCATATTTCCATCCTCACCTTACTGATCCTATCAGAGCCAGGGATTTTCTCCAACCTTGCCTCTTGTTTCTGTTTGATGATGACTTCCCAGTGTTCGCAGCTAAGGTCATTCTTCCAAGCTCAGAGTCACCTCTACTACTTACCCAGCATCACTCCTTAGATGTATGTTAGCCATTTCCATTTTAAAATAGTCCAAATAGCCGGGTGTGGTGGCACATGCCTATAATCCTAGCACTCAGGAGGCTGAGACAGGAGGATCACTGGGAGGTCAAGGCCAGCCTAAACTATGCAGCGAGCTCCTGTCTCAATAAAAAGCTCATGTAAAACTAATATTCTCCTACTGATCACTTCTTTTCCCACTGTCTCAAAATGTCTCTTCATCAATTTCTTTGCTGAAACCCCAAATCTAAGAGTTATCCATGTTTCTTTTCCCCTCATCCAGCTCATCAGCTTGCCCGGCTGGTTTTACCTCCAACATATTTATACATCACATCTGCCCATGTCTTGCCAGCAGTCGTGCTCAGATCGTCACTAAGGCCCCTTGGCTGTATTCTGTGCTTGTTCTCATCCCTCCACAGCACGTCAGAGCTCCTCCCTCGCTTCTGTGCCTTTCCAGTGCCCTTGCGATAAAATCACTCTCCTTGCCAGGCATGCGGCACACACCTCCAATCCCAGTACCCTGGGAGGCTGAGTCAGGACTGGCAGATTTGAGCCCAGCCTGGGCTATGTAGCAGCTTAGCAAAACCCTGTCTCAAGATAAAAAATAAGAAAAAGATTAGGGAAGTAGCTCAGTGTGAAAGCCCTGAATTCAATCCTTAGTACAACAAAAACAAAAAGTCCATACTTCTTGCCAAGGACCACAGGTCCTGTATGAGCTGACCTCCATCCTCAGCCTGTACCATCTTAGGTTCCAGAAAATGTCAAGCACATTTCCCTTTCTCCACTTCAAGCCTTTGTGCTTGTTCTTTCTTTTTTCTCAGCTCTTGGCTGGCTTCTTCCTGGCCAAGTCTGACTTCTTCAGGGTGCTCTTGCCCAGTCCTCTACTTATGGGGCTGTCCCCTGTCCACACCTGGTTTTTCCTCCCACCATAGTATCTTACTGATCTTCAGAGCACTTGGAAGCAGCAACCATTCCTTTCCTTGAGGGACTGCTTCCTTCACTAGAGTGTAAGTCCGTAAGAGCTGAATGGATCTTAATGTGTTCCTTCCTGGTGCTTAGTACAGTGACTGGGAAGCTATGGTTACACGATAAAACGTTTATTGAATGAAAAAGTAAATGCATGAATACATATTTTCCCATGTCATTGTTTCTAATAGGTACATAGTATTCTGTTGCACAGATGTGACCTAATCACTTCTGTATTATTCCATTTATTTGTTTCTAATTTTTTACCACCAAAACATGAGAAATAATCTAAATGGCTATTGGGACTATTTTTAACTAAACTGTGGACTATTATACAGGCATATAAAATCCAAGGAAATTTTTATTAACATAGGGAAAGGAGTATATTAAGTGAAAAAAGCATAATACAAAATTATATATACACTCGGGAGGCTGAGGCAGGAGGATCGTTGCAAGTTCAAGACCAGCCTGGGCTACAAAGTGAGCTCAAGGCCAGCCTGAACTGTGTAGGGAGACCCTGTCTCAAAAAGACAGAAAAAAAAAAAAGAACAAAATTATATATACAATATGATTTTAACTGTGTAAATGTACATAGAAAATCTAGTAGGAAGTAAACTAAAATGTTAATTATGCATTTCAAGTTGGCAAGATTTTAAAATTTTGTTTTGTTTTTTGGAAGTTCTTGCAGGGGAACACAACTACTGGTTCAACTAAATGTTGAAATGCTCTTGCTAATCACAGCTGCTCTTGCTAATCACACCCTTGATAGAGGAAATGGTCCTCCTCTTTTGAGGGTGGTTGTTTTCTTCGACTGAGCACATGGATCCGGGAGGGATACACATGAGAGGGATGCACATGGAGTGGTGAGAGAGAAAGCGGGCACCTTCCTAGCCAGCCGGGTCAGCCTAGTCAACCCCAGTGATCAGCGGAGTGACAGATGTTGCAGCCGGATTGCCCTTACACCCTTTGTTTTTTGAGACAGGTCTTGCCATATAGTTCAGGCTGGCCTTTAGTTCACTGTGAGATCCAGGTTGGCCTCGAACTTGAAGTGATCCTTTGGCAAGATTATAGGTGATTTTTCTTTTTGGTTGTTGTATTTAAGTAATACATGGTATTTTCTTCTTTATAATTTTCTGTGTTTTTCAAGTTTACTGCAGTGAGTATATATATTTTTTTAATAATCAAGACAAAGTTACTAAAAACCTCAGATCAGTTTTATGACATCAGATTATTGAAGATAGTCAAAAGCAGTGTTAGGAAGCTTAGGTTGGCGGCACATTCCTGTAATACAAGCACATAGGAGGCTGAGGCAGGAGGTCTGCCTTGAGTTTGAGGCCAGCCTGGGCTACATTGTGAGACCCTGTGTCCAAAAAGGACAAAGGGAAAAAAAAATTCAATTAGGAACCATGAGGCCCTAGAGCGTGACCTAAATGTTGAAATGCTCTTGCTAATCACAGCTGTCGGCCTTTGAGTCATTCCCTGGGCTTTGAAAGTGGCAAGGATCATATTTCTTGTGAAGCCTCTGAGGCTGTTAGATAGTGGGGCTGCCAAAGTGATGCGTCGGGGATGAGAGTGTACCACGGAGGGGCTCAGGGATGCAGAGGCCTCAGAACTGCTGCTCACCTCTGGTTTTGGAGCTGGAGGGGACTCCTGTGGTCTGAAACATTGCCACAAACTTTTATTCATTTAAGGCAATGGTTCTCAAATCTGAGATCTCTCTGAGGGTTCATGAGGTCAAAACTATGAAAAATTAACGTGTCATTTGCCTTTTTAGTTCTCATCCACTTGAGCGTGGAGATTTCCAGATGCTGCATGATTCCCAGCAGATTGGCTGCAGAAGCAGCCAGCTGTCTCCTGTGAAGCCAGACATTATTAAGGAAAATTATAAAATATAAAACACTGCCAATATTTGGCCTAAGATTTCTTATTAGGGAAAATAAAGTTATTTTTCATGAAAATGCTATTTGTGTTAATATATACTGGGTTTATTTTTGTTTTATTTTATTTTTATTTATTTATTTTTTGTCCTTTTGAGACAGGATCTCCCTATGCAGTTCAGGTTGGCCTTGAGCTCCCTTTGTAGCCCAGGCTGCCTCGAACTCACAACGATCTTCCTGCCTCAGCCTCCTGAATGCTGGGATTACAGGCGTGTGCCACTATTCCCAGCTCTAAATTTTTATTTTAGGTAAATTAATTTTTTAAAATTTCAGTTTAATTTTATTTATTTGTTTGTTTAGGTTTTTTGAGACAGGGTGTCCTGCTGTGGTTCAGTCTGGCTTTGAACTCATATAGTCCAGGCTGGCCTTGAACTTTTTTTTTTTTTTTTTTTTTTTTTTTTTTTTTTTTTTTGGTTTTTCTCTGGTACCGGGAACCGAACTCACGACCTTGCGCTTGCCAGGCAGGTGCTTTTGCCGCTGAGCTAAATCCCCAGCCCCCTGGCCTTGAACTTGAAGCAATCCTCCATCACTTTCCAAGTGCTGGGGCCACAAGTGTGTGCCACTGTGTCTGGCTAATATTTATTTATTTATTTATTTATTTTTGAGACAGGGTCTTGCTATGTATGTAGTTCAGGCTGGCTTAGACTCACTATGTAGCCCAGGATGGCCTCAAACTCACAGCGATCCTCCTGCCTCAGCCTCCCTAGTTCTGGGATTACAAGCCACCACTCCCAGCTAGCTAATTTTTAATATTGCAAATACTAATAGGTATTTACCCACTTAAACCAACCCTTTCTGAATCCTCAAATTTTAAGAGTAAAAATAAGTTCTGAAATGAAAAAGTTTGAGAACCACTGAATTACAGTGGCAGGAAGAGGATTATCTTTATGGTGGGTTGACTGGGACTCAGTTGATTGTTGATTGCATGACTCAAGCGTACAAACCCTAAAGGAAAGTGACCTAGTATAACAGACATATGTAAAAGTCCTTAAAATACATAAATTTCCCCCCCTACTCTTCTCTTTTAGAAATCATGCATGATGTGATCAAGAAGGTCAAGAAGAAGGGGGAATGGAAGGTAAGTAAAGGAATGCAAAGTCCCTAAGGGTGAGTTCATGTGAGAAAAATAATGGGGGCAGAGATGGACACAAGGAGTCAGGCAGGAGTGAGGGATTTTTGCTGTGACCAAAGCCACAAAAAGCTCATGGATGGGAGAAGGCAGTCTACACTGCCTTTCATTTTATAGAATCTTGGTTCAGAGGTCGCTTGATCACATTAACACCAAAAAAAAAAAAAAAAAGCCGGTTTATTCATATAACATCTGTCAGTTTTACCTGCAACATCTACAGCGGTGCTGCAAACTATAATGGGCGTGAAAGAAGTGCTAAAGCCATTCGGATTGAAGATGACCTTAGGTTCCTGGAGTGGCTGACATAGAATGGCCCATGCTGTCCTCATGAGTGTCGCCAGCGTTTTAAGAGTCGCCTTGTGGCCCAGGGCTGGGTGTCTTGCTGGCCAGGTTTTGTGAATGTGCCCCTATGGCACTGAGGGATGATATCAGCCATTCTTGGATTCCTCACATGTGCAGGGTTACTAGGGGCCCGGGAGCAACAGAGCTGAGTGACGCGAGGGGATTTGGAAGCCTCGCTCTGGCCCTGTGAGATTCTGTCTGGGTCAGCACATCCATCCTCACTACCGTGAGGCCATCTGGTGGGAACTCTATACATGTCTTTCTCTGGTGCTCTCCCATCGGAAATGGATTTATAGGCATGAGAAGGTTAAACAGTTCTTGAGGAAGCTGCATCATAAGATGAAACTAATTGGTCCTGGTTCTGCAGCAGAAAGCTTTCTGTCCACATTGTCTGCCTGGATGTGTCTGGTGCCCATTGCCTCCTTCTTGGTTTACGTCATTAAAGGACAAGAGACACAGCCTCGCATTAGCTGCTGCCTTCCTCTCTCTCTGGGGTGAATGGGGTTAGAAAGATTCACTGAATGGGGCAGGTGTGAGCTGAGGCCAGGACTGGAGCATTCTTGTTCTTTCAGCCTGCGCAGTGCTATAGTGCGATGCCAGATGATGTGTGTGCCAGAGAAGGTAGGATTCCTCGTGACGCCTGCATCAGGTCCTTTCGTGCCATACCTGATGTATGGACACTTTTCAGTTTTCTTTTTCTTTTTGGTACCAGGAATCAAACTCAGGACCTTGTGCTTGCCAGACAGGCACTTGTGCCACTGAGCTATAGCCCCAGCCCTCAGTTTTTTTAAAAAAGTTTTGTTTGTGGTACTGCGGGTTGGACCTCAGGCCTTTGGGTTGAGCTACATCCCCAGACCTTTTTGATTTTTATTTTAAGACGGTATTTTTATTTTAAATGGCTCAGTATCCTAAGCTGTGCTCAACCTTGTGATGCCCCTGCTTCTGCCTTCCAGAGTGCTCGGTTACAGGCATGCACCACCATACCCAGCCGAAAATATACTCACTAATGTGATTATCTCTCAGTGTTGATACTACAATGATTTTTCCTTCATTTTGCATTTTTGAGTACTTTTATAAATCATGGAAATGAAAACTATTTTTTGCTTTTTAATTATTATTTCTCTCTCTCTCTCTCTTTTTTTTTTTTTTGATACAGGGCCTCAGTATGTAATTCACGCTGGCCTTAAATTCACTATAGCCAAGCAAAGTGGTACATGCCTATAATCTCAGCACTCAGGAGGCTGAAGCAGGAGAATTGCAGCAAGTTTGAGACCAGCCTAAGCTACACAGTGAGTTCAAGGACATAGCAAGACCCTCTCTCAAAAAACAACAAAACAACAACAAAAACCTCTCACTGTGTAGTCCATGCTGGCCTCAAACTCATAGTGATCTTCCTGCGTCAGCCTCAGATTATAGGCAGGTTCCTCAAGCCTGGCCAAAAGCCTTTTTTAAAAAGCTTATGAAATTGAGTCAAGTCGAGGAGAGGAAACCCTAACTCCTAGAAGGGTAGGTTGGCTATGAGGGTTAAAAGCAAAACGTGTCTCTGCAGACTTCTGGACTATAGGAAATGTGGTTTCTCCCACAGCCTGCGCTTTTGGTGCTTTCTGAAGCTGGTGCAGTAGCCTGATGGGAGAATCACAGCAGATGCCATGTGGCTCATGAGCTCTCTCTCCGTCCAGGTGCTGGTGGTGGACCAGTTAAGCATGAGGATGCTCTCTTCCTGCTGCAAGATGACAGACATCATGACTGAGGGGATAACAAGTAAGCACAACAGTTGGGGCAGAGCGGCTTTACTCTGTCCTAGTCATTATTCTCGCTGGACTTTAGACAGTGCGAACAACCTGAGTGGTAAGACTGTCAGCCCCTGAGGGAGAGCCAGGCTGCCTGTTCATCACTGCATCCTCGCACCTAGTGCAGCGCTCTCTGCTATCAGTGCTGAAAGAAAGGTTATGTCGAGGAAAGAAGGTTGTCTACCTGAGAAGGATTTAATAAGGGAAGAAATTCAAATGGCTAATACATATATGAAAAGTCCCCACCTCATTAGTGATCAGGGAAATCCCATTCAAACCAGAGTGAGCCACCACTACAGATTCACCAGACGGTGAGGACGCAGAAAAACAGGAACTCCTGTCTGGGGCAATGGCAGAGTCTAGTAAAGTGGTAGGTGTTGTATGTGTCCTGTAAGCTAGCCAGGCTGTGATGTCTGTTCACATGGGTGGGAGAGTTCCCAGAACGTTGGCATAGAGGTCCCAGATGGGAAATAGCTGTTGAGTAGAGTGGTTACATGTGCAAGGCTGTGTTCATCTCTAGCAACACACACACACAGTGACTGATTAAATTGTAGTGCAATAGTTACACAGCAGAATACTCTAAAACAGTAAAACAAAACAAAGCTGAGTGCGGTGGCGCACACCTCCAACCCCAGCACTCAGGAGGGAGGCTGAGGCAGGAGGGTAGATCACTGAGAGTTTGAGGTCAGCCTGGGCTACATAGTGAGGCCCTGTCTTTAAAAAAAAAAAAGTCCTTAAATTGTGATGGTACTGTATTGTCGTTTTCCTATTGATTGTGGGAGCACATAATTTTTAGAGTGATTTTTGTGTCATCAGTGTTTCCAGTCAGTTGTTCAGGGTTTTTGTTTTTGGTGTTTTGAGACGGGGCCTCACTATGTAGTTCAGGCTGATTTTGAACTCACTGTGTAACCCTGTCTGGTCTCGAACTTCCTGGGATTAGAGGTGTTATACCATGCCTGGGTCCCAAGTCAGTTTTTTTGACCAGGCTTGCCCCTATTCTGAGCTTATAGTTATCTTCCTCACTGACTGTGCGTGTGTGTGTTTTACTAGTCCTCAGACATACTAGGCAAACAATCTTACCACTGAGTTACACCTTACCCCCTTTTTATTTTTTTGAGATGGGATCTCCCTAAGTTGCCCGTGAAGGTCTTGAAGCCTCTTAAGTAACTGGGATTATAAATGTGCACCATCACACCTAGCTTTCTGGCTGAATTTTTATAACTTTCTTCCCCCCACTGGATGTGGTGGCACATACCTATAGTCCCAACTACTTAGAAAGCTGAGACAGGAGGATGGCTTGAGCCCATGGGCTCCAGATCAGCCTGGGCAGCATAATGAGGCCTCACCTCAAACAGACAAACAAACTGTTTTACTCTATCAAAGAAAAAAAATGCAGAGAAAGGGGAAAAAGCCAAATGGGGTTAGTAAGTTTAATGCTCCATCCTCATCCTCTAGGGTCCATTGCCCTGAAGTAGCCACCTTACTCCTTTGTTTTTCATATATATGTAAACTTTCATACTGTTATCTCTCAATTCTTCCAAGTTAGACTTTACCACTGACTTCCTTTGACAGCTCAGTTCCTTCCACCACACGCAGCTCTTCCCTCCCCACAAAGGCAGGCTTCAAAATATGTCCTCCCTTAGGAAAATTAAAAAGTTCACAGCTGTATGCTGAGGCCCCAGAACATTTTGGGGGAAGTATTAGTAGGCTATAACATTTAAAACTCTACAACCGCTGGTGAAGTAGATGGTTAGGGGATTAATTTGAGCATTATTTGGGGTGAAAGTTTTTATAGATGTTATAAGGAATACTTCTAAAGTTACGCCTTTTTACATAAAACATCTGCACAGGAAGAGTAATACACAACCGTACATTCTGTGTGTGCCAGAAGACAGTGTGGCATAGATCACACTCTCTTAAACTTCATTGGGTGACTGGTGAGATGAGGAACCTCTCCAAAGCTGTTTTTCTTGGGAGAAGTAGCTGATATGGCCATAAAGGAAATACTGTAGTACAAAGCCTATAGCTTGCTTTTTTTTTAATTTTAATTTTAATTTTAATTTTAATTTTTGATACCGAGAATCAAACTCAAGACCTCACGCTTACCAGGCAGGTCTTGTGCCACTGAGCTATATCCCCAGCCTGTGGCTTGCTTTAACAAAGCAGAATGCTACATCTTTGAACTGCTAAGAGGAGCAGTATTACATAAAGTATTTTATGTTTGAAATGTTTATTTGTGGTTTTTCTGTTTTTTGTTTTTTTGTTTTTTTTTTTTTGTCTTTTTGAGACAGGGTCTCGCTATGCAGTTCAGGCTGGCCTTGAGCTCCCTTTGTAGCCCAGGCTGGTCTGGAACTTGCAATGATCCTCCTGCCTCAGCCTCCTGAATGCTGGGTTTACAGGCGTGCACCACCATGCCTGGCTTGGAATGTTTATTTGATGTACAGAGAAAAATGATAAAACTACCCAATGGTTGATAAATAAACACATCATGAAAATTCTAAAGGAACTGAGATTATTTAGGACAGATGAGGAAAAGCTAAAGGAAGGACAAAAAACCTTCTTGACAGAATGAGTCAGCCATTTCCATTTTCTCTTACAACAAAGGGATTTACTTAAACTAAAATGGGAACTATCTAGTGTGAAAAGATTTCAGGTTTCCTGGGAGATTGAGGCAAAAGGATTGCAAGTTTTAGCTCAGCTTGGACACTTTAGCAACTTACCAAGACCCTGTCTCAAGGGGAAAAATAATCAGGTTTTCTAATGTCTTGGCCATAGTGAAACAGTGGAGTTCACTCACAAAGAATATGGTAACTTTAAGGAAGAGGTAAGAATTCCTTTTCTTCCTCCTTATTGTAGCCTTTGACCTGTCAGTCTGAAGGCCACCTGTCTATGTTGCTTCTAGTTTTATGATCCTAGTCATGTGCTCTTACTAACTGTGGGCTCTTTTGTCATCTAGTTGTGGAAGACATTAACAAGCGCAGAGAACCGCTCCCCAGCCTGGAGGCCGTGTATCTTATCACTCCTTCGGAGAAGGTAAATCCTACCAGGGAGAAGAGCTAAGGCTAGCTTATATATGCTGGTCCTGGGATCTCTGGCACATGGCACCCCATGTTTCTAGGTTAAGCACGCATTTAATACACTGCTTTGTTTAGCATTGTGATCCACAGATGTGACCTGGGGGGAGGTTGTGCAGTGGGAAGTGAAGTTGTATTAAACCTTTTGTGCTAGGCAGCAGTGCAGAAAGTCAGCGCGGGTATTCCCTGGGTCATTAGTTTTCCCTGTTGCAGTCCTCTCCAGACAGGGGATCTACCTCCAGGCTTTCATATTTTCATTTCAGATTTATTTCATCAATATCCAATTAGGCCTGTTTTCCCTGATTTTGAGGGATTGTTTAAAGTCAAAATCCAGGCAAGGTCCATTTTCTTACTTGGTTGGTAGTTATTTTAGGTCCTCCTTTTTTTTGTTGTTTTTCTTTTGGTCTTTTTGAGGCAGGGTCTTGCTATGCAGGTCAGGGTGGCCTTGAGCTCACTTTGTAGCCCAGGCTCGTCTTGAATTTGCAACGATCCTCCTGCCTCAGCCTCCCGAGTGTTGGGATTACAGGCATGCGCCACCATGCCCGGCCTATTTTAGGTCTTACTCTCTCTCTCTCTCTCTCTCTCTCTCTCTTTTTTTGTCTTTTTGAGACAGAGTTTTATCATGCAGTTCAGGCTGGTGTTGGACTCACTGCATAGCCCTGGCTCACCTTGAACTTGCAACAATCCTCCTGTCTCAGCCTCCTGAGTCTTGGGATTACAGGCATTACATTTTAATCTGTATTTTAAAAAATTCTCCTGAGCCAGATGGGTTGCAATCTATAATCCCAGCTATTTGGTAAGCTGAGGCTGGAGGATTCCAGTTTGAGCCCAGGTGGGCAATTTAGCTAGACCCTGTCACAAACAAACAAATAATCTGATTTTCACACCTTCTTATCATTTTTGAAAATTGGTTTATATACAAGTTCCTGCAATGCAACTAAATTGCCAGAGCTTCATCAACATGAATCTCCTGCAAGGTTTCTGCCCAGTTTTGTGGTCTTTTCTCAGGAACTCAAGTAGTATGGCACTCATATCGTCATTCTAGAATGGGCTAACCTCTGCAATAATCCTCATTTCAAGTGCTGAGAACCCAACTGTGTCAGAACATGAGTGTTAGAGTTATACATCAGAAAAACCCTCCAGTATTTTGTGCAGGTGTCCTGACACCACTTGGGTGCCACTCGGTTCAGTGGTTCAGCTCTCAGTCCCATTTGCTCTGTCATTGCCCTTAGCACCTTCTTTTGTTTCTGTCCACAGTCAGTGCACTCTCTCATCAGTGACTTTAAGGACCCACCGACTGCTAAATACCGGGCTGCGCACGTCTTCTTCACTGACTGTAAGTAGCTGTGAGCTGCCTTTGCCTGGCCAGGTTCGCCTTGCTGCCTCACTGGGCTGAACCCAACCCAGGTTAGATCAACAGGGGAAAGACACATTGTTGCTGTAGTTGTCCTGATCTTTTATTTTCTTTTCAGAAGGTAAATTGCATAAGAGACAGAAATAAACATACACCCACGATTTAGCTGTGACAAATTATGCTGCTATAAACATGGGTGCCCATATATCGCTGTGGTATGATCTTTTTAATTCTTCTGGGAAAATACCCAGAAGGGGAATAGCTTGGTTGAGTGGAACTTCTAATCCTAGTTTTGTGAGGAATCTCCAAACTGATTTCCACGGTGGTTTCACCAATCTACAAGGCTACCAGCAGTGGAGAAAGGTTCCTTTTTCCCCACAGCCTCTCCAGCATTTGTTATTGGTTGATTTCTTGTTTTTTTTTTTTTTTGGTTTTTCTCCGGTGCCGGGAACCGAACTCACGACCTTGCACTTGCCAGGCAGGTGCTTTGCCGCTGAGCTAAATCCCCAGCCCCTGGTCGATTTCTTAGTGATAGCCATTCTTTCTGAGATGGAGTCTCAGTGTTGTTTTAATTTGCATTTCCTGTCTGGTAATCTGAACAACTGGTTTGAAGACAACAGTATGCAATATGCCAACCACTGGTGAATTCCACCATCTTGTATCGAAAACTCTGTATCGTCTCTAATTTTTTCTTTTTTTTTTTTTTTT